AAAAAAAAATAATAATCAATAAATAAAAAATAATATGCAAAAGAAAATGAAGGAAAAAAAGAAAATGGAAAAAGATTATATTAGTTGAAGAAAAAAAGGAACGAAATGGAAACTTACATTTCTTTTTTTTTTTTTTTTTTGAAGAATATATTATTTTATACAACAAATTGTTTGTTTAACTGAGATGGAACACAACAAAAAATAAATAAATAAATAATAAAATTGCAACTCAATAATTTCGTTATTTTAAAAATGAATTTTAAGAATTTTTTTTTTTCATTGATAAAATTCATATATTCATAATCGATACATTTGTTCTATTTAAAATATAAAGTTCTGCTGTTAACTGTAATGTCAAAAATTGTGTTAGCTTTGAGCTTTTTTTCTTTAGTTTAAACTTTCATTTTTTCCTATAGCAAATTTAAATCATTTTTATTACAGTGAAAAAAAGTAAATAAATAAAAAAAAAAAATCTTTTTCCTATCAAAAATTCTTAGTTCCATTTAGTTGTTATGCTTTTATCTATTTCCATTGTTAATTTAAAGTTATAGGAATTTGAAAAATGCTGTAAGTAGTATGACAAAATAATTGAAACATATGATTGATGATGAATAATAGCCAGAAAAATTGCTATTTTTTTTAAATTTAAATTAAGTGAGTCATTAAGTAAACATAGATTTTGATTGATTAATTCTCATATCAGATGATCAGTCATTAGTTGTTATATAATAGCAAGAGACATTGAATGCAAAATTAATTAATTGATGTGTTAATTTATTCACTTAACCTATTCTTTCTTTTTTTTTGTTTTATTGATTATGTGATATTTAATGCAATATTTGATAAATTTTTAACTATTCCAGCTTATATTTCTTTATATATTTATTTAAATTTTTATATATCTTTCTATCATTAACTTTTTTGCTCTTCTTTTTCTCATTTTTTGATTTTTTTTTTCTCTTTTAGAGTTCAAAATTATAAAAATGAAGGGATATTTTTGATTCTATTTTTATGATAAATATAATAAATCTAAAATAAAATTTAAAATAATTGCGTTTTTATTTCTTTTTTTTAAACGGTATTTTGAATAATTAAACGTTTATGAAATATGTTCAAAAGAAAAGGAAATTATCAACAATTATTTGACTTAATTTATGCTTTTTTAATTTAGTTTTTGGATTAATTTTTTTTCATTCTTAACATTTATATTTACTCTTTTTTACTTATTGTATTACTTTGATGTAAATTGAATGATTTTATTAGGAAAATTTCTAATTTTCGATTTCTTTTTTATCAACCACTGAAAATACAAATGAAAGCATAGAACTTAATTGAGCATGTAATCACTTCAAATAGAAAACAATCATGTTGTGATTTAAAATAATTTGTGAAACTTAAATAATCATATACTTATTTTAAATAATTTGCTAAGCTCTTGATTGTAAATTTAAATTAAGTTCAAATATTTGTAAATTAAGTTCAAATAATTCGTGTATTTTATAGGATCATATATTACTTTAAATCTGTGAAATTTTAATGGTTATATGCTTATTTAGAATGATTTATAATCATGTATTTACTTCATTTATACACTGCGATTCCCCTGTTGACTGTTTCTCGGATTAGTAAATTTTCTTTCTATTATATTATGAATACAAAGTCCATTCAACAAAAGCTTTAAATTCTGTTGCAAATTAGGCCCATTCATTTTAAGGCTTAACAAAACGTATGCAAATAAACAAGCCTTTTCCTCTATCAGCTTCTTCATCCATTGATCACATTAAATCGTTGTATATTATCATTCGTTTAACAATATTCATTCATTTCTTTTCTTCTTTTTAACCTTTCAAAAATTACACATACATTTTAGTCACAAAGTTTTGTTAAAATATTAAATTTATTTCTATGCTAAAGCAAAAATCTTTTTCAAAAAAAAAGCGGAAAAAAAGAAAAAAAAAAACAAGAAAAGAAAATTGTTTAAATTGGTTTATAAATATTATCAAATTATTAGTGGTAGCAAAAAGAAATTTATTATTTACAAAATACATTATTTTTAAAATTTTTAGCTAAGAACTTATATGTTTATGCACTATGTATGTAAAAAAAGAAGAAAAAAATTTGATGTATTGTTAAACTTATTTTAAAAATTATTAAAAAAAATTTGTTTTTGCTAATTACGATTAATTTTTTTTTTAATTTTTAAAAATTCATTTGTCATAAATTATTGTAAAGGTTATAATTATTATTTTAAATCTATTTCTGTGTTGAAAATAAATGACAATAAATATGAGTGAGATGAATCTGTTTACAAATGAACAGGTGACTATTGATATCCCTTCAATATGATCGATAGATTTTACGGAAAACATCAGCTAATGATATATATCTAAGTATAGCATGCTTACGTCATTCAGCGCCTGCTGTCCATTTGTTCAATTCCCTCGACAAGATCGCATTATCATCACCTTATCTCCTTCACCACTAAGCGGTAATGTCACTTTGGCTACTGATATTGTTCCATTTTAGTCCATTTATTTTTAGTAGTAGTTTTTGTTGTTCCTACTATTGTTATTGTTGCTGCTGTTGTCAGCAATTGCTACTGTTGTTATTATTGTAGATGTTGTTGTTGTTGTTTGTTGTTGTTGTCTGTTGTTTGTTATTGTTGTTGTTGTTTGTTATTGTTATTGTTGTTTGTTGTTTGTTGTTGTTATTGTTGTCTTTTGTTTGTTATTGTTTGTTGTTGTTGTCTGTTGTTTCTTGTTTGTTGTTGTTGTCTGTTGCTTGTTATTGTTGTTGTTATTTGTTATTGTTGTTGTTTGTTGTTGTTGTTGTTGTCTGTTGTTTGTTATTGTTGTTGTTGTTTGTTATTGTTGTTTATTATTGTTGTTGTTTGTTGTTGTTGTTGTTTGAAATTATTTCAGATTTCATATTAATCTAATGTATTATCATCTATTACCAGCCATATATTTGTCATCAATAATATTCAAATATTTATGGCTTATTTTTTCATTTTTTTTATTATTTTAATCAAGTCTTTGGATAATTTTTCCTCTGACTAAGTAATCATTTGTAATTACCACTTATTATTTCTTTGACTTCCATTTCATTCTTTGCAAAAGCTAGGAACATGATATGAATTATTCAATATTAGTTAAAACAATTTAATCATTATTGAAATATATTTTAAAATTTAATTGGCTATTTGTTTTGTTCATTTCTCCAACGTGTTTGCCTTTTTGAACATTTACTTTTGAAATGACAATTTTTACTTTTTTTTTTCTACTTTTCAAAATAAACATTTTTTGACACCTAAAATGATAAATTAAAGTTCTTGAATAAAAACTGATATAACAATTAAAATATTTGAACGTAAATGGATATCAGCAGTTGGTTATCAAAAAGTGATTTTCAAATGTATTATTTCAAAATTAATCAATAGAATATATCTAATACTGATAGGAGGTGGAAAATTATTCATGAAGAAATTTTTTTTCAGTTATACGTTCGGAACTATAGAAATTTATGAATTTTTCTTTATTGATGTTAACAGCTGTAAATAATTTAAATTCTTAAAATTAATCACTTTGTTTCCGTTTTTTTTTTTTTTTTTTGATTCCTAAAATTAAATCTTTGGATTCAAAGAAAAAACTGTCACATGTTGACTAAATGAATTAGAGAATTTGGAGCATACGTTCAAATTTTTCTTAAAAAAAAGCATTTAATAAATTACATTTCTCAAAAGTAAGGGAAAAAAAATATATTTTGAAATTGCTAAAACATGTTGAAATCATAATTTTCGATTTTTTTCTTTTTTTTTTTTTCTTTGGCTAAGTATTAAACATAATTCTTGCTAGACATTTTAGCAACAAATTACAGATGGGACGAGAAATTTCAATTTCAGCAATTTCTCAGACAATAAAAAAAATGCTTCACTGAATTACTTTTGACCTCTGATCTATTTAAATGTGTCAAATTTTTTCGTATACTAAGCACAACTTTTTTCCTTCTCAAATAAAGCAAAGAAAAAAGAAAAAAGAGAAAAGAAAGAGAGAGAAAAAATGAAGTTAGCCGAAATTTTTTGAAATATTTATTTATATAGCATACATCGAATTATTTGCAAATTTGATATAAAGGAATTCCATTGAATTTGCAATTTATTTTGAATTGAAAAAGTAGCATGGAACATCTCCCAGACATATATTTAGAAATAATGAAAGCGAGAAGAAGAAAAAAGGAAGGCAATGGCAGGTTATTTGCCAAAAAAAGGCGATGTTTATTGCTTTTTAAATTTAATTCCCTCTAGTAAAACGACTAGATGCCACTTACTTTTTCACATTTTCCAGAAATATCCCAAAGCAAAGTATTGAGCTAAAAGAAAAAGAAAAAATTTTGAGCAATTTATTGATTCATCAATTCTTGAGAAGTTTACTTTAGACACTTTATTTCCATGACATTAATAGTAAATGAAATCTAAATTTACTTTTATTGATAAATTTATGAATTTATTTTGTACAATAATTTTGTTGTATAGTTTTACTTCTAAATTTAATTATGTTATGACATTTTTTATTTAATTGTTAAAAACATATCTTAATCCATTCAAATTTATAAATTTGTATCCTATGAAAATTTCTGTTACAATTCAAGCTTCGAATTTTTTAAAAAATCGAGAACCATATGAACAATAAAATTTTTTAGTCTAATATAAATCATGACTTTTAAATCGACTTGGCGTTAATTAGTAATAAATTGTTGCTTTACATATTAATGAATGTGTTACTAAATGATGAATGATAGTAGATCAGAATTTATCAATATTTTTCCTTTTCATACCATTCAAAAATTTGGTTCTCAAATATAATGACAACACAATATCTTATTTTACTGGATGAAGTTTAAATTTTAATGGAAATAATAAAACGTTATATTTCACGTAACGAAATGAGGAAAAAACGATTCATACTTCAGACTTATTTTTGATATATATACGTATATTTCAGTAAACCGACTGTAAGCATGAATCAACCGTTACGTTCGCAATCATTCAGACATCGCCCTCGAACATCAGTTCACGTGAAACGTCATCCATTCGATGATTCAGCGCAACAAGTTCGAGAACGTAGGCGCTCAACGCCTAATATTTTCCGATATTCCACTCTTCATTCGAGGTTCAGCAATTCCATTCTTATTGATTTACATTAGATATTCATATAAGAAAGAAAAATATTGCGGATTGAAATTTATGACGCAAGTTAAAATATGATATTATACGTGTACGTAAAATTAGTCAAAAATTTACATATGGGCATTTATTTGTTCAGTAATATTTTGCTATTAAACTCTTTTAACTTGTTGACTTCTTAATCTACTAGCAATATTTAGATTAAAATTAATTTTAATGACTGTGAAATTTATGTAAAAGAATTTTATTAGTTGCGTTTAATTAATATCACAAGGCGAGTTTGAAATTATACGTTAAAACTAGAATTACAATTGTTATATGTGAACCTGAAATGTTATCTCTTAAAACCTTACTTTACTTTGCTGATCCTGAAACTACTCCTTTACTTGTAAAAGCTAACTCGATTTTATCCTAAAAGTAAATAAAATGAATAAATCTATCAAAATTAGCGATAACTAATTAAGCACTTCTTTTGCTTGTTTTTTATTTTCGTTTTCTTTCTCAGTTTTAAATTTTCTTTTAATCTTTAAATCCATTAACAATATTTAGATTAAAATTAATTTTGATAATTATGGAAGTTATGCAAAAGAGTTTTAAATTCTAAAGAATTAATTGCAGGAATAGAATTTTTAGGAATTAATTAATGGAATAAGATTATTGAAAATCAAAGGATAGATGTAAATTTTGCTATGTAATAATTTATAATACTCCTATTGATCTAGCCGCCTCATTTCACTGTGTATTAATCAATAATGTTATCATTGAACTAGCCGATCTTTCGCCATCTTTTGAACTACACTCTTTCACTTTTATCACTCCCAAATTTTAAAGCACTTCACTATTATCTGTTAATCAAATATTCAAATGATAGGATAAGATTGAATATTATTTTATGGCTTCTGCATATAACGGAAATTAAAATAGGGATTGTGCACTTTTATTAATGCAATTTTACCTTCTCACATATTTATTATTAATATTTTATTCCTTCTTCCTTTGCAAAAAGTTTCATTTAATTTCATTTAGATTATTCAAGAAAATTTTAGAACTGAAGAGGAAATGAAAATTTTTCATTGTTAATTACTGGTAGATAACAGCTTATTAATTTATCAAACATTACGATTTCTATAATAGTTTTTCCTTTTTACATTTGATCATTAACGCTTTATCATTCTATTTTTTAAAGTAATTTAAATTAATTCAAGTCACTGAATAAAATTTGAGGAAGGATGGAAATTTTTTTCTGTGCTAATTATCTTAAAATCAACATTTTATCAGTTTTCCAGATGTTCAAAAGCTCCAAAATTCCCTGCAAGTTCTGCTCATTTTTTCTTTTTTTTTTTCAAAAAGAAAAAAAAAAAAGCAAAACAAAAAAAAGAAATTAATCTTCCATTACACAATATGATTGATAGGATGTTGTTTGCAGTTGAAATGTTCGTCTGGTAAAGTGAAAAATAAGTTTGAATAGATTTAATTTGTTAAAAATTTATAAAATCATCATCATTTCATTTTGAAAAATGTCATAGTTTAAAATTTAAAAAAGCATGAAAGGAAAGAAAAAAAAGCAAATTTAACTGCAGCAACTTTGAAACAGCTAAAACTATCATTTTTTAATTTTTGATTTTAAAAGTGATATTTTATTAGTCAGGATTTTTTTTTGTAAAGAAATTTGTCAAATTTTTTAAAGTATTTAAAGCAAACTATTCCTTTCGACATTTCATTGTGAGGAATTTTAAAAATAAATGTTTAATTAATATTAAAGAAAATATCACGCCATACAGTGGGAAAGCCAACGATGTTCATATTTCGACAGTATTTATAAAAAAAAATTCTAAAACGAAAAAAATTTTTTAAAATTATAGAAAGAATTCAAGATTTTTAAAATTTGACTATCATTTTCTTAATTATTGCAACCAGTACAGTAAATTATATTTACTGTTTATGCAAATTATTCCTAATAATTTTTTTATAATTGAAATTAATTTTTACAGATAGATTTAATTTTTTTTTTTTTTTCAAAATTTTCCTTATTTAACTAATATTTTGATCAATTAATTTCCATTTCTTCAAGTATTTGTCATAATTTTAAAAGAACAATGACCACAGAATGCATTCTTTTCTATCCCTATTTTTCTCTATCCGGATTTATCCAGCACATTATTTTATCAATCAGATTTCCGGAATCGAACAAATGTTAAACGAAGATTGAATATTTCATCTACATGAATTGTTTTTCCTAGTATACTATATTGTTTTTCTTAATTTTATTTTTACCTTTTGTCTGTTGTTGTTTTTTTAGGCATCGACCATCGGACATAACACGAACGGATGTTTGGCCGAAACCAAGAGAACGAGTGGCCGAAGATCGTTTTCTTAATTTGATAGATTCCGATGATTACACCCGAGTGCGCGAATTTAACATAGATGAAAAGGGTACTGTTGTTAGTCGAGGCGATTCGTTTCGTCTCAAAAGTCCTTCCTGTCATAAACGAGGTAAAATTGAACTTTATAATCATGAAATAAATATTTTAATATTAGTCTACAGGAAAAAAAGTAAATATATTTAGACTTTTAAAACTTAAAAATACAATTAGCTAAACGAATAAGATAATTTAATTAATTAAAATATTTTTTTTTTCAAATTGTGATTTTTTTCTCCTTAAAATTTAACAAACAAATTTCATGCCGAACTTTTTTTTGGAGGGAAAAAAAGGTACTACTATTCGTGAGCTTAATTCAAAAAATTTGTTACATTTCATGAACTTTTTATATCTTAACTGGAAAGATTTTCTAGAATTACGAAAGGTAGATCGATCCGGTTTGTCAAATGAATCAAACAGCTCACATTCAATATCTGATGAGAGTATTATGCCTGCTAATAATAATGAAAAAGATGAAAATAATCAGCCATCGACAAGTACTGCTTTTTATGAGGTATGTCACAGCACTCAGATATTAATCTGATGCTAATATTTCTTTCATTTAAGTTTTTAATTTACTGATTTCATTGAAATATGTTTATTTTTGTTTTTTTTCCATCACATTTGATAATTTGTTCAATTAAGAATTGACTGTCATTAAAACTTTTTTTTTGTTCATAATATAATTTACATATCAATGATATTAAATTGGTAAATCCATAAGTTTTTAATAGAAACCTTAAGTTTTGATAACTGTAAATTTTAGATATATGTACTTGGCTCAACAGGTGTGGGTAAAACTGCTCTTATTGGACAATTTATGACTTCGGATCATCGAAATACCTATGCTACTGATATAGGTGTGATTTTATTTTTAAAAATTGAGATATTAATTTAATGAAATTACAACATACTATATTTTATCATTATTGACTTCATTTATCTTAAATTTCATGTTCAAATATTTTTTTATTAAAAAGAAAAGCATTTTATAGAGCAAGTTGACAACACAGTATCAATTATAATTGGTGATAAAGAAAGCGAATTAACATTTCTTGAAATTGATCCACATAATGTAAGTAATTTAATATATGGCTAATATTTTTATTTGGCAAACTCAGAGAATTATGTTTATTTCTAAGTTAAATCAGTAGTAGTTTAAATTGAAGAAACAGATTAAGGTTACATACAAAATCAATTTTATGCAATTAACATCCACTGTTATAATTTAGATTAGTAAAATAATTGAAAGTAGAAATATAATCAATTATTGTATTTGTTTACTGATGTTATCAGTTAATTTATTTATTATTATTTAGGATTGTTCTTGGTTAGATGGTAAAGCAGATATTTACTTACTCGTATACAGTATCGATTCAAAAAGTTCCTTCAAAGAAGTTATGAATGTTGTTGACTGTTTACGTGAATCAGAATCTGCACGACATACACCTATTGTCATGGCTGCTAATAAAGTTGATTTAGAACGAAAACGTGCTGTAAGTAAAACAGGTAAATAATTGAATAACAATATTTTAATTAAAAATTTTATCAATATTAATTTTGCTGTATTTTGTCGTTGTACATTTATGCTTCAATAGAAAAAATGAAAGATTAATATTTGCTTGTTTGTTCGTTTTTTTTTTTTTTCTTTTTTTTTTTGCTTCTTCTCTCTTTTTTATTTCTTAATTTTATAAAAATATTTTCAAAAAATGGGGCAATTTTCAAATTGAAAATTTAATTTTAGATGCAAAAAACGCTGCAATGACTTATAGCTTTGCGCATTATGAAGTATCAGTGGCGTTAAATTTAGACATTGATGATCTTTTGGTTGGACTTATTGCCGAAATTAAGCATTCATTAAAATCAGACTTGCTCGATTTTTGTGATGACATCAAAGTTTGTTTAAAACTTTCTATCTTGAAAATTTTTGTCGAGAAAGTATGTCATTTAAAATTTGAAAATTTTTTTTCATTTTTAAACCAAAAAAAAAAAGAGAAAATAAAAATAAAAACGAAAGAAATCGCATACTGCATGAAATTAAATTGATGTCAGTTTGAAAAATTTTTTGAAAATCTTTTTTTTTTTTTGTAGAAAAGTGTAATCCATTAAATATTCGCTAGTGCTTTTTAAATGAATATTTTTTCGAATTTAAAAAAATGAAACTTTAATTTTAATGTTAGAAAAAAAATGTGAAAAATTTTTTAAAATCTTGTTTAATATTTCCATCATTTTACTGAAAATCATTTTAGCCTTCTAAAGAAAACAATGATACGGAAGTGATGGAAGAACCAAATGATTTCAAAGCTGCTATTCGAAGATATTCAAGGAGAAGACGACAGCAGATGGGTGACATCAATGAGGTAAACTTATTATATTATTTGTATATAAAACTAAATATATGTATGTTTTTCTGTCAAATCAGACGTTTTTAATTATTATCAATAATCATACAAGATAAGTGATATGAGCACAAGATTTAATGATTTATCACTGCATTCTTTTTGCAGAAACAAGCGAATAAATGTACGCATTTCAAAAGTAATCTTGTGGAACGTTTTCGAAATTGGAGACGATTATTGCCAAATTTAAATTATTAATTAGTATTTTCAAACCGGAAATTCTTCCTACCATTGCTCTTTCAATCTTAATTTAATTTTTGTTAGCAATTTTGTTTTTGAATTTATTGCACATTTGATTAAACCAATTATGAATAATGGTTTCTTTTTAAATGAATAAAATTCTGCAGAAAACAAAAAGTTTTATTGCAACAATTTAAAGCAAATTCAATACACCAATTACACATTAATTACACGCAAATCAAAGATTGATATCATAAGAATTATTAAAAATTGTAATTGTAATAAGATATGTCACATTATATTGAATGTTTAGTAAGGAATATCATAAATATTGGGTATGTCACATCATTAAATCATTATAGTTGTTATGAAAAAAAGAAAGGAAGAAGTAAATTTGACAAAAAAGGTATATGTTTAAGATGAAAGAAATTTTGCTCATAAATAAAAGCTTAATTATTCCGAAAAATACTTGTTTTGAAAGATAAGAATAGCTTTTTAATGCTCGTTTTAGCGTATTTAAATACTACATACAAAAATTTAATCCAAGCAAATTTTTGTATCGTAGTAATATTTTTCTTTTAGGTAGAATATTAAAAAAAGAAAGAAGCAAAATTATCTTTGTAAATAGAAAATTATTAAAAGAATTCAGCAAAAATGTATGACAAAAATGAAAACACCCGTGGGATGAGTTAGTTGCATAGTGATGTCACTATGATTCAGGACTAATGTTGAAATTGCATAACGGTTTAGTGCTATGCTAAGAATTTTTTAGGAAACAATTGGATGGTGAGTTTTGGTTAGGGTTATCTGTTCATTTCTCTGTGCATTGCTATATTTCATTACTTTCATAATTGATAAATTTGTTAGAATCCATTGCGTATTGATAATATTAAGTTAATTAATTTCTTACTTTTAATCATTTTCTCATTCCTTGTACTCAAGGAAAGGACGGAAATTTGTATAGTTGTTAGCTGAATGGAACAATTCTGACTTCGTATAGTAAGTATATTGTACGATATAATTTAATTATCATTTGGATAAGATTATTTGTAATTCGATTCCTTTCTTTATTGTAAAGTGAATAAGATTTAGTTGTTTAAGTTATGATCTATCCAACGCAAATAACTTCCTTTGCAATGATCTATTAGGAATGCAGTAGTGCACTCCCTTCTGCTTCATTGTTGTCAATTCTCATGGGGTTGTCTCCCTCCATTCATCGGTAATAAGTCATTATTAGCTTTTAATCAGTTATAATACTGAAGCGAAGATAGGTGACCTGATGGTCATTTCTTTTTTATCCTTTCATTAGATTAGTACATTTTGTCTTGTTTTGTTTTTTGTTAATTTTCATTTTTAGATATTTCAAGTTTTTAATAACTTGCTAATTTTAACACGTAAAAGGAATAAACGTTTAAAAAAATTCGTTGCTTTTATTTTTTGGTGTTTAAATGATTTTCCAGAAGTCATATAAAATGACAGAATCACCTGCAATTGACTTTGACGTGTTATTTTACGATCATTTAATCAAAGAAGAACCAAAATTGGTAAATAAAGTGTTCAGTGCGCAACGACGAGATGAATTAGAAAAGAGACGAGTAAGTCTTTATGGTTCTAAATTTTTCCCCTTTAATTTTTCATTCTATTTCTTTTTGAATTGTTTAGCTAGTACAAACACTTCACAGTATCTTATCATGTACTGAGAGATTCACAGACTGTTGTTGCAAACTCTTTGATTAAAAGCTGCTGATATGTCTTTATTTTCCAGCGGTCATCTGGTAATTTTAAGCCGCTTAAAGAGGTTGTAAAGGAGTATAATAAAATTGTATGTCGAAAACGTAGCGCGAATGGTATTATCAGTAATTCACCAATTGTTAAGAAAGCTCTAAGACAAAATGAAATAGATGATTCAAGCGGTAGCTCAGATAGCGAGGATCCAATCAAGCAGGCTGCGGTATTTTTTTTTTCCATAAACTTTTTGTTTTAAATAATTGAGCATTTTCTAAGTGATTGCTTGAGTTACTCTGCCAGAAAGCTGTAGCGCTTAACACGCCTATAGCTCAGTGGATTTAGTTAGTAAGTAGAAGTCTAGCTGTTGTCGGAGATTGTTGGGACTGCTATCACTGTTACTCGGTAGGTTTGCCAGAACTTTCAGAAGTTCAGAAATTTTAATTGCATTGCTTATAATTTTTTAATGTTTATTGTTTTATTAACTGGAGCATATATAGCTAATTTCAGACGAATATAATCAAGAGTGGAGGAACAAAACGGCCTCCTGTTCCATCATCATCTTCAAGTTCTGATTCTGATATTCCTGTTAGTTTTGCTGCTTTTTCTTCGTAAAGGATGAGAAAAATAATTTAATGATATAGGTGAATAAATTCTTTGATTCTCTAACCATGAATTAGTGGAAATCACTTAGGCGCATCAGAACTAAACGGTTTTGGATCGTTATAGTTTAAGCGGTGCCTTAAATCATATTGTCATTTCAGTAGCCGCAATTAATCTTCCATGATTGCGTAAAGTTTCTGTTTAACGAACATAATTAGTTCAAAGTTTCCTATATATTATAAGGCCAGCCGTAAACCAGTCGAATGGTAGAACTTCGTCACCATCAGATTTAAATTCTGATAGCGATGACAGCGGTAAGATGTCGGTGGTTTGGAATCGTTTTTTTTAAGTCTAAACTTTTATCCTATCTTAAATTTTATGGTCGAAAAAATTGAGTGGGCGTTTTAGGAGTACCATGATTAACATGGATCTCTGTTGGACACTTATCAATAAAGATTTTTTTTTCATGATTTACAAGTTATTTTCAGGGACAAATGATTTCGAAAACAGTTAAATTACCACAAACAAAATTGTCCGGATTCAGTAATTTATTAATCACAACAAAGAAGGACGCGAAAATTGCCAAACTCTCTCCATCGCTTAATCTCTTGACAGCAAAGAAGCAAATTAAAAAGGATAGTTCTAGTTCATCAAGCGGTTCAGATGAGGTTACGAAGGAAGAAATTAAAATCTCATCAACTGCAAAACAAGTTGTATCGAAGAAGGATTCGTCGACAAGTTCTAGCAGTGACGATAGTAATAGTGCTACAAAAAGGAAATTACTACAAAGTAGGCCCGGAAAGCCAGTCAGTGTTTTGTTTAACTCTAATTTGAAGAATAGTGTGGTTCCAGGAAGCTCATCTGACACTAGTACTGATGATAATGATGGTATGGGTTCGAATGTAAAAGGAAAAATTACTGGAGGAGCAGTTTCAGTTGCACCATCTGCTAGTTTAGGAAATGCGGTTGTTGCAAAAAGATTGCCTAAAAGTTCATCTGAGAGCACTTCAAGTGATGATGATGCAGATAAGAGTTCCAGACCATTAGTGCAAGGAAATGTTTTCGAGAAAGCTGTTTCAACTGCGCGAAGCGCTAATGTAAGAAGTGCAGCTGTTGCGAAAAAATCTGAAAGTTCTTCTGATAGCACTTCTAGCAATGATGATGATGCGGACAAAAGCCTAGGACTGAGAAATGGCATTAGGAAAGCAATGCCAGCTACGCTAGGTGCTAATGCGAAAAATATAGTCCCTGCAAAAAAATTGGCTGAAAGTTCATCTGACAGCACTTCAAGTGACGAGGATGATAATACTGATGAGAATGCGAAGCCACTAATGCAGGGAAAAGCTCTGGAGAAAGCAGTTCCAGCAACATTAAGCGGTAATTTAAAGAACACGGCTGTTACGAAGAAACCATCTGAAAGTTCTTCTGACAGCACTTGTAGCAGTGATGATGATGCTGACAAAAGGTTGAGGCCAGGAAATATTCCCAAGAAAGCATTGCCAGCCACGCTAAGTGCTAATGCGAAAAATATAGTTCCTGCAAAAAAAATGGCTGAAAGTTCATCTGACAGCACTTCAAGTGACGAGGATGATAATACAAATAAAAGCGTGAAGCCACCAATGCAGGGGAAAGCAATTCCAGCAACATTAAGCAGTAATTTGAGGAAAGCAGCTATTACGAAAAAATCATCTGAAGCTTCCTCTGACAGCACTTCTAGCAGTGATGATGATGCGGACAAAAGGTTGAGGCCAGGAAATATTCCCAAGAAAGCATTGCCAGCCACGCTAAGTGCTAATGCGAAAAATATAGTTCCTGCAAAAAAATTGGCTGAAAGTTCATCTGACAGCACTTCAAGTGACGATGATGATACAAATGAGAATGCGAAGCCACAAATACAGGGAAAAGCTCTGAGGAAAGAAGTTCCAGCAACATTAAGCAGTAATTTGAGGAAAGCAGCTATTACGAAAAAATCATCTGAAGCTTCCTCTGACAGTACTTCTAGCAGTGATGATGATGCGGACAAAAGGTTGAGGCCAGGAAATGTTCCCAGGAAAGCAGCTCCAGCTACTGTAAGTGCTAATGCGAAAAAAACAATTCCTGCAAAAAAATTGGCTGAAAGTTCATCTGACAGCACTTCAAGTGACGATGATGATGATACAAATGAGAACGCGAAGCCACCAATGCAGGGGAAAGCAGTTCCAGCAACATTAAGCAGTAATTTGAGGAAAGCAGCTATTACGAAAAAATCATCTGAAGCTTCCTCTGACAGTACTTCTAGCAGTGATGATGATGCGGACAAAAGGTTGAGGCCAGGAAATGTTCCCAGGAAAGCAGCTCCAGCTACTGTAAGTGCTAATGCGAAAAAAACAATTCCTGCAAAAAAATTGGCTGAAAGTTCATCTGACAGCACTTCAAGTGACGATGATGATGATACAAATGAGAACGCGAAGCCACCAATGCAGGGGAAAGCAGTTCCAGCAACATTAAGCAGTAATTTGAGGAAAGCAGCTATTACGAAAAAATCATCTGAAGCTTCCTCTGACAGCACTTCTAGCAGTGATGATGATGCGGACAAAAGGTTGAGGCCAGGAAATGTTCCCAAGAAAGCAATACCAGCCACGCTAAGTGCTAATGCGAAAAATATAGTTCCTGCAAAAAAATTGGCTGAAAGTTCATCTGACAGCACTTCAAGTGACGATGATGATGCAAATGAGAATGCGAAGCCACAAATGCAGGGAAAAGCTCTGAGGAAAGAAGTTCTAGCAACATTAAGCAGTAATTTGAGGAAAGCAGCTATTACGAAAAAATCATCTGAAGCTTCCTCTGACAGTACTTCAAGTGACCATGACGGTGTAAATAGAAGTGTGAAGCAATTTGTGCAGGGAAAAGTTCTTGGGAAAAGAGTTGCGGGCACGTTAACTGGTAATTTGGGAAACGCGGCTGTTACGAAGAAGTCATCTGAATTTTCATCTAATAGTAGCGATGATAGTGCAGAAAAGAATCAGAAACAAGACATAAATAAGTCTCTTACAGTCCCGGAAAATGAGAAACTTAATGATTGTGGGAAAATTTTGGATAAGAGGACTTCCAAGATTCTAGCACAAACACCCGCGAAAGCTATGTCTTGCACTGAGAAATTTCGAGTTAAAGAACATTTAGATGATGGCAGTTCGGATTCCGAAAGCGATATTGATAAAACACCGGCTAAAAAAACAAAGTTGCAGGTTCAACACAAAGCAGCAGTGGCAATTCGAAAGAAAGCGGCAGATATGAGCTCATCAGATTCTAGTGACAGTGATAGCAATAATGTAAGGAAGCTAGCGAAAAATACGCAAAAAAAGTCTACCACCGTCTCGAGTAGTGCCATGAAGAGTAACTCGAGTTTTCCGGATTCTGATGAGTTAGACCTTGAGATAACAGGAAAAACTAAGGCAGCAATAGCAGTTAGAGATAAAACCTTTTCAAATGAGAACACATCATCTTCTGATTCCAGCAGTAATAGCCAAGTAAGGAAAGCACAAATTGCAGCCGTTGCACATCTCAAACAGCCAAAAAAATCGTTGCAGCAAGTGGCCGTTCAGTCGGAAGTCAAGTCGAGTTCTGATTCATCTTCAGATTCCGAAACAGTTATTCCTGAAAAAATAGCACGGAAGCAACAACCAGTTAGGCTACAGCATCAGCAGGAAGTGACAAGAAAGCAAAAATTAATGGATGATAGTTCATCTGATGGTAGTTCTTCCGATGATACTGTAGTTAAGACAGCTGAAATGATTAACAAAGCGGGTAGGAGAAAGATTGAAAATTCGTCAGAATTAAGTCTGAGTATAAATAAAATCGCCACCACATCACTTGAACATTTACATCAAAAATCAGCATTAAAACTGTCAAGTAATTCCAAAGTTTCTGTAGAAAGCAATTCCGAAACTTCGTCAGGTTCAGATTCTGATGAAGCTACTTTGAGACCGTCGCAGTTGCAAACTGTAGCAGAGGTGCAGATAAATGGCAAACCTAATGTTACAAAAGATTCTGCTACCTCATCAGATTCAAGCTCAGAGAGCGATATGACTTCAAAGGAAAGAAACGTTGCAGTTATTTGTAAGCAGGCTAATAAAGGAACGTCAAAAGATGTTATCGGATCCACAAAGAAAGCAGCAGCGAAACAGTTTGATCATTCTTTAAGTGGAACTGATGAAGGCAATGGTAAAAGGTCAGCTTCTAAGAGTACCTTCAGACTTTTTTTTTTCTTTTATTAGACTGTAAATTTGTTAGAATTTAAACCAGTATATTTTACTTTGCTATTTCCAGTTTTTCTTCCCAGACATTCGATGTGCTTTTGTTTCAATTTTTTCTCCCTGTAATTTTTTTTTTTCTTTTTTGTGTTTTTTAGGAAAGGTAGTAATACTTTGGGGAAAGCTATCGACACTCTGAAAGCAGATTCGTACGAGGAGGTAATTTCTAAATCTCAAGATGTTTGGTGGATTGTAATTGGTGAAATTAGATTAATAGATTAATTTGAAAATTACTTAATCCTGTTTAAAATCTTGTTTTGTAGTCTTTTATTCTTATTCACATTATAAATTTCTTCAGGACAAAAATAAAAAGAGTCGGAGTCAAAAAAACGCAGATTTAAAGAAGGAAGACAATAACACGGACTTGAAGGATGAAAATGATGATCCGGAGAAGTTTGTATCTGTTCTTTAAATTGTTATAGCAGTGTAACCTAGTAGCAACCACAATCCTATTTAGTAGCATCTTATGGAAAAGTGTAAGAATATTTTTGTTTATGGAAAGGAATTTTGTACAAATTTTTGTCTATGATTGTATTTGCAGAATGGGCAACAATCAGAAAAGTATGGGCAAAAACAATAAAAAACAAAAGGTTTGTTGTAGTTGTAATTTTTATCCTTTAGGTTGAAGTAGCCTAACGAATTTACTGTATTTCTTTCCATTTCGAAGTTGTTTATAAGATCCGAAAAATATTGTAGGTATTGCAGAATGAACCGTTTCGTCGAGTGAAGACTTCGAAGGATGAATTGCATGACAAATTTCGCGATAATTCTTATCGAACAAAAGTAAAATTTTACATTTTTTTTTTCAAGCGAATTTTATAGTTTTCGTATCATTTCACTTCCAACTTTTTCCAGTAAAGGACTGCGGTGATTCACTTATCCATGAAGCATTTGCTTTTTACCTTTACCTCTTTGATTTTCGCATCAAATTAAGGAAATAAAAATTTTTACCTTTTTGGTTGCTTTTATAGCACATATTTGTGGAGTTGGCAGCGAAATATTCGCTATTCTTTAAAGCGATAATTGGTTTATTTGAAGTTTGTTTGATTTTTATATATTCGTTTTTCTTGCTTATAATATTCTGTCCATTTAGACATACGACCAGTGGGGTAGAAAAGCGTATGAAGATATGAAAAATGTACAGGGCAAAGGATTTCGGCATGAAAAAACGAAGAAGAAACGTGGGTGCTACAGTGGTGGTAGTGGTGCAAAGATTGATACCAGCTCTCACTCGATTAAATTTAGTAGTGATACTGATTGAAGAAATATTTCGCGTTGTTGTGATTTTTTGTCAGTCTTATTAGTTAATTTGATATTTTGCACAAAGTTAGCTCTTTTCTATTTCATGTATTTTGTTGAGCAGTTGCTCATTTGTCTATCACTTTTGAAGTTTTTTCTATTTTCCTTACTCTTGTCACTGTTTCTTCTAGCGTTTTTGCTAATGTTGATTAGTTTTGCGATGGGAATGTTAGAGTTGTTGAAAATTGCGGATTTTCTCGCACTGTTATTTTATTGATAAATATATTTTTTTAATTGTAGAACTTTATTGTTTTCCTTCACTTGAAGTTTCGGGTAGACTTCATTCTATCTTCTGTCCTCTCTGGAAGGAAAATTTTTTCGTATTAATATAAAACGTTTAGAAATATAACAAAGGTGTTACTATATGGACATTGTTTTCATTATTAGTTAATGTGCAGTGCAGTTCATAGTCTACACTGTTACGGGTTTGTGCATTTGACGGGGATTTGGAATTGAAATTCGCGGTGTTCAAAGTTATTTTGGTGCTATTATTATATTCAAGGTGGAGAAAGGGTTAGTCTATATTGTAATTGTGACAGGTGCATCGATGTCAAATACGTAAGGGTGGCTTAAATTGATTTCATGATTTGGCTCAAAATTAGCAATGATTTTGCTGGCAAATCACCTGATTTGTTCGGTCTACCAAACGGTTCTAGCTTTTTTTGATATTTAGGTAGTGAAAAATGTAAAGAGAGGATGTGTCGAGGGAGATTACAGTAAAGGTCAGAAATTTTGGCTGTGTAAAACTTCTGTTTTATCTGTGCACTTTTGTACTGAATATTCCTTGGAACAAGAGGTGACGATAAGTTGCAGGGTTCGTAGATCATTGAAGTAAAATGGGAAAATCGAAAGCGCATCCAAACACTGACGTGAAAATAGAAGTTGATGAAGATGTAAAGCCATTGGTAAATGATTTAGCTGATACTAGTGTACTGGGAACGCCGATGTCAGCTAAGGTTGGACAGGTATAACATTTAGCGCATGTTGTTTTGTGGTGAGACAATAGATGAAGAAATCTATTGTAATCATAACTTAAATAATAGTCAGCTGATATGTACAGGAATTACAATATTTTGTGTTTTCATAATATTAATCAGTTGTGGTAAAAATTGCATGCAAGAAAAAGTAAGATTTGATCTATGATGTTTTGGCTGACCATTAGTTTCCATTGCTTGTGGCATTTTGAGTTTGAGTTAGTATCCAATGTTTCAAATTTATAATTTCATATGCGGAACTAGTTTTCTGCGTTACAAATTAGCTCCGATTTGAATTTCAGGATGAGTATGAAGAACTTTGTACTATGGTTAATGCTATTGCCCAACCACTTGCTCCAAGAAAAGTGGCAAAGAAAATTTACAAACTGATAAAGAAGGTACCAATTTTACTTTTTTTTTTTGATTTTTGTTTTTGTTTTTTGTTTTTTTTTTATCTTTTTTAACTTGTCCTACATAATTCATGCTGAAAAATATTTATGATTTCAAAAATCTTTTTTTAGGCTTCTAAAGATAAGCAATATTTGAGGCAAGGGATGTGCGACGTACAAAAAGCTTTGAGAAGGAATGAAACTGGTATCGTTGTGCTTGCAGGTAGGATCTTTCAGCCTGAGCATTTCATTCCGTTGTTTAAATCGTATGACATGCACCATGGCCACATATTATGATTGACATTGATCTCCGAAATAAGATTATTCGTCTTCTGATATTAATTTTACATTAGGAAAAAAAAAAGATATAAGCAAAAAACATTTTCAACGTCTCTGAATTCCGAAAACTTTGAACAAACAGTTGTTTACTCAAACTTTTTCTGGACTCGGATGCGTCAAAAATATTCTCGAAAACGAGTTCAAATCCTCACTTTGAAAAGATAAAATCTGTTTATAGGTAATGTATCACCAATAGATGTTTATTCACATATCCCATGCATATGTGAGGAAAAAGATATTCCATATATATTTACACCATCGCGCGAGCATCTCGGATTGGCTACTGGTAGGATTTTGGTATTCGACCATTAATTTGAATTTAACTTTAAGTTCTACTTCATCAGCAAAAATTATCAAGCTATTTTGCGGTAACAATTTCAATTTACCATGGAAATTATTTTACATATCTTCCAGTGCTAAGTGTCTGGTCAGTTTTCATTCGTCGCTAAACTGTGAGGTAGTTTAACTTCGTGGTTTGTTTAAATAAACTTATGGCTTGTTCTATTTCGTAGACAACATACCATTCTTAGACGAACTTATTTCTTGGTAGGATCGTTTGGGTTTGCTTTCCTGCTACCACCTGATGTAGTGTTTCAGGTCACAAAAGGGCTGCTATACTACTTCTCATAAAAGAACATGAAGATTACGCAGATTTGTTCCATGAAGTATCTGAATTAATTAAGAGGATCGCACCTGATATTTAACGCAGAAATTATAATTACTTTTGCTGGAAATTGTTGCGCCTTGTTATTGTGGTATGTTGTATAAAGATCTCTACGTTTTTTCGTGCATTATTTACCTGCTTCAGTGAAACTGATAATAATTATGGCGAAGATAGTTTTTGCGTAACTTCATCTAGTTGTCTGGAGTTTAAATCAATAACAGCAGTTATCGAGCACTGGAACTGTTCGGTTGGAAAAAAATGATGACCTCTTGTTTCAATATATTGGTGTTCCAAAGGCGGACTTAAGAATGAACAAGGAAGTGACGCTTTATCATGCCACGTATTCTAAATAAAGTTGAATAAGGAAGTTTCCTATTGACATATCCATCACTAAGTGAAGGGGTTAAGTCACACACGTTTGACTTATGTGTCTTAGCGCTTTTCTATCACTTTTTTAATAATCTGAATGAGTGAACAACGATTTCAATTATTCCTTCTGCTTTGGGATTCCGTCTTCTTTTGTAACTAGGATTGTGGTTAGGGTAGAATCGAAGCAATAACATGTAAGTTAATCACGTGTGGGAGTATTAACATTAGGTTTCTACACTTTATGTAGGCAGGAATAATAAGACTGGCTGAATGAATAAATTTGTGAAAATGAGCAAAAATGAACAATTGAAAATAATTTGAGAAAAATATCTGCATGCAAGTAAATGATAGGGTGGGATTATATTTCACATGTAGTAACTAATAATAATGAGGAAAAGGTCATAGTTATTTATTACTGGCAATTAATACAAAGAAGAAAGACACGTAACACGTACCGGAATTCCTCTTATTTAATTATATAAGTTAAAAAAGAAAAAAAAGGAAATGCAGGGAATGGAAATTTCATGTAATTTTTTCAATGATTATATTTTGGGGATTATATAGTTTGATTCTTAATTAAATAGATGAAATCAACCAAAAAAGAATATTCATCTACTGAAGAAATATGTTTTTCACAGTGTTTTTCCTTTTTTTCCATTCCGTATAACACCATCATCACTGATAAATCTTTCAAAAAGAAAAAATTCACTACTTTTATAAGGTTCTGATGGTGTTTGTTGAATATTACATTCAAAATAGCAGCAGACCTGTAAAAGTTCATTTTACCATCACAAATAGTTAACAGAAAAAAAATAGAAAACTGAGAATCGAAGAAAAAGAAATTGGCGAGATTACTTGTATTGTAAGCGATTGGTTACAATTTATTTCGTCTTTTCTTCATCGCATTTTTTTTTTTTAATTTTATTTTTGATAAAATCACTGTTAAGCAACTGCATTAATATTAAACAACTCTTATTAAATTGTATACACAAAAGCAATGCAACAACAACAAAAAAAAAAAAAAAACAACTTATTATATATTCAAATTATAACAGCAATTATCGTATAATCACAATTCGTTCTTTAATAATAGTAATGCGCAACGGCTAAAAAAGTTACAGCGTCCAGCGAAAAGTTAATTTTCTCGAAAAAATTTTTTCCACCAATCATCCAGTTTTTTGATGCTTTCGAAATGTCTTCCTTAGTAGTTTTATCCGACAGAATTGAGCCATATAATTTCCTGGTAGCTCTTAAGCTACTTTCGAATTAATATGCGTTTTTTAATTATCAACTAAATTTTTTGAAGCAGTTAAATTTTTTGGAAGAATCCCTAAAAATTCCGATTGTTCTAAAACTCTAAAAAAGTTTATTAGAATGCCAGCTGAAATATATATATATATATATATATATATATATATATATATATATATATATATAAGATAATGTTTCCAAAGCATTTCGAAAACACCTGAAAAACTGAACTTTTTAGATAGCACAAAAAACTTTCTGCGGACGCTTAAACCCGCCTGTTACAGCAATTATTTCTGAAATGCGTAGAAAACGCCACTCTCAATTTCACAGCAACATTCGATATCGTACGTCAAAGTGCTTTTATATAAAAAGTGGTTCGAATAATTTGAGAGTAGATCCATGATATTCTTGTTGGTTAAGTTTAATTTTCTGTTTCCGGAATGCCATAATACAGCAGATGCCATATTTATAACATCGTACATAGATTACGAATACGTTGTCTTGCACGACGCAACGGCGCTGAACGGCTTGGACGGGAATGCTCACCAGGTGGTAAATCTGCAACTGATAATTTATCCTTGTTGATCAGTAAATGAAGAAGCATAAATTTAAATTATGCTAACGCATACAATTACATAACATAATTAAATTCATTAATTAAACAATCAGAAAACATGATAATAACCTTATCATGCGACGAAATCAAGTTAAAAATTTAATACACATCACTAATTTTATCATATATCATTTAATGTGCTATTTTTCCTTCGTTTTTTTTTTTTTTTTTTTTTTTTTTTTTTTATCAAATGCTGATACACGAATGCTTAAATAATACGTGCCCATATGAAAAAAACACTTGAAATTCCGAAAAATATTTGAACAAATGAATACTTGTACTAATACACTATGAAATGATTTTTTTTGAAAAAACCTTACTGATACAAAAAATATTTTACTTATTATATAGAAAAAAATAATAAGTCCAAATAAAAAAATAAATTGTAATATTAAAAAACTATCTTGATTTTAGTTGGATATGGAATAATCCTAGAAATTCCGAAGAAAGTGAAAAAAATTGAAATTAATTAGATAAACTAGTGCTTAATAAGTTGTGCATATAAATTATTTTGAACTTTTTGAAAAAAAATCCACTCGAAATTCGAAAAAAAAATTGTAATACTAGTATTACAGTTGACGCAATACATTCATAACAATCGTATCCCTTTCATAGATATAAATTATTTTGAAATTCAAGATATTTGGTATAATTGATTGTGATCTTTTCTCAGATACCATATATCGCATTTATGGTAAGAGATCAGGAAAAAAGAGTGGAAAAAATTGATGTTACCTTGTGTTTCTATCTTTGGCGCTGGCAATATCGATGCGCACGAACATTCATCAGCTCCATCTTCTATCATTGGTAAATCGTTTATCAGTGAAATAATAGGTATTTCTTCAAGGTTAGATTTCTGATAGTGCAAAGCTTCTTGTTTGGTACCTAAAAATGAACAAACATCTCAAAATTATGGATTCTGAAATAGAAAATTCGTTATAGGTTTTGAAATTAACTATGAAAATATATCAAACAGTCATATTATTAAAAATAAGATAAATGATGAATTATGCTAGCATTAGTGTTTAAAAAAAAATTTGGCGATGAAAAAATGATTCCAATTTTTATTTAAACTAACAAAATTCATTGAATTAAACCTTACGTCTCACGTATTGGTCATTGTATGGTGAATAAGCATTTTGATCTGTAACTGAAAATTTTGGCGAACCTTCTACGGTCCACTTATTACGCTCTCCTGTCCAATACTCATAACGTGGTGGAGTTGAGGGACGTGGCAAATCATAGCGAACAGGATTACGTCGTATCTGTTGAGCAATAAAAGTAGTCAAAAGTGAATTATTAATTTGTTGAACAATAACAGCAACATTTTCTATCAATTTGAATTTAAGAAATATTCGTGCATTTCAATTTTTCTTTTTTAGAGCAAAGTGTAAAAAAACAAAATTATGTCAAACTGATTTCAAAAACTAACTTTTGTTTCAGTGCTGGTATAATATGTAGAGGGTAAAGATGAGGTTTCATATCGAGCACGCTGCATACGTAAATCACCTCCTACTGCAACGCCGGCATATGTTCGAGGCAATGTACTGCTCTCAAAAATAGCTTTGTCCTGATGGGCATAAGCCGAAACTTCGGGAGGTGGTGGTGGTGGTCGGTACTGACGTCGATATGTTGCAAGATGAGAAGACGAAGTTGGATGTGGTCGGCGACGTTCAATAGAGATGCGTTTTTTATAAGAGATAGATGTTGTCTCACTGACCGTTGTCCAGTGTAGGTTAGCTGTTGGAGAGACCTTGCGTGTTCTTATTTTAGTGGGACATACTGAGAAATCTCGGGTGCTTTGTCGAATGTCAACTGGTTCCAGCGGTTGGATCTCGAACATATTACGCTCCTCCCAACTAGCGTCCGATGCTAAGTCGATGCCGATATCGGCACTAAGATCACGGCATGGCTTTGATTGACGTTCAGAACGTCGTCCGATCCAGTAGTCTACTTCACGAGTTTTGCGATGATAATTTAAATCATGTGGTATTGACGCCATTTCGGCGCGTCTGATGTCTGAAATTTCATCATAGCGCCTGCTTTTGGACAATTCCGGAACCTTCGGGACAGGATGTGCAATACCTACTGGTAATGGCCGTCCACTTGCACTTCTGCTACTGATGGATACATCAAAATTAGACAATTTCTGTTCCGACTTTAAAAGCGTGGTGGGTGGTTCCAACGGATGACATACTAAGCGTTCACTACCAGTATGAGTAGATACAGAAGGAGAAACCAAAGGCTTCACATTATCAGAGTGAAGCACGCTTTCATGAAAATAACTATCCTTGAACGACGGATAACGTAGAGACTCAAACTTAGCATCGGATAGTTCATCCCGCCGACCAAAAAAGTGGAGAGGTGATTCGCCGAGCGTAATATCTGATCGACCAGAATGATAAACATTCACAAACTGTTGCAAAGGAAGACACTCAACATCACGCGACAAAGGCAGATGAGATAAAGGACCGACGCACGTTTCCAAAACAGGGTAATCAGAAAGGATTACCTTCCTTCCTGAAAAAGCTGATATCGCATCAGCAGGAACAAAATCATCCTTTTCAACATTTTCAACAGTTGCAAACATATCCGAACGACCGCTGTGATAGACAGTAACCAAATGTTCGATTGGTTCGCTTTCCACATCGGGTATCCGATAAGTTGAATCAATTGGACCTTCATAGGCTTCCATAACAGGGTAGTCCAGGTATGTGTCGCCCTTTTTGAAGAGTCCGGTAATTATCTTGGCAGTAACAATCGGTTTTTCTTCCATTGGCATTTCTTCAACCGGTATTTCAGTAGGTATTTCAACAATTTTTGTTACTGGTTCATCGGATCGCCCACTGTGATACACGCTAACATACTGTTGCAGTGGTTCGCCTTCTACATCTGATGCAAGGCTTGTTGAAGCCAATGGTCCATCATATGGGCCAGATGTTGGATAATCCAGATGAGCAGGACCTCTTTTGAAAAGACCGGTAATTTTTGCACCAAGTGCTTGAGCAGCATCTGTGAAAACTTCACCCACATCCACGGTAGGTTTCTTTTCTTCACTCGGTACAAATTCATCTGAACGACCGCTGTGATAGACAGTAACCAAATGTTCGATTGGTTCGCTTTCCACATCGGGTATCCGATAAGTTGAATCAATTGGACCTTCATAGGCTTCCATAACAGGGTAGTCCAGGTATGTGTCGCCCTTTTTGAAGAGTCCGGTAATTATTTTGGCAGCAACAATTGGTTTCTCTTCTACAGGTACCTCTGTAATTTGTGTTGGCGTTAACAGTTCATCGGATCGCCCACTGTGATACACGCTAACATACTGTTGCAGTGGTTCGCCTTCTACATCTGATGCAAGGCTTGTTGAAGCCAATGGTCCATCATATGGGCCAGATGTTGGATAATCCAGATGAGCAGGACCTCTTTTGAAAAGACCGGTAATTTTTGCACCAAGTGCTTGAGCAGCATCTGTGAAAACTTCACCCACATCCACGGTAGGTTTCTTTTCTTCACTCGGTACAAATTCATCTGAACGACCGCTGTGATAGACAGTAACCAAATGTTCGATTGGTTCGCTTTCCACATCGGGTATCCGATAAGTTGAATCAATTGGACCTTCATAGGCTTCCATAACAGGGTAGTCCAGGTATGTGTCGCCCTTTTTGAAGAGTCCGGTAATTATTTTGGCAGCAACAATTGGTTTCTCTTCTACAGGTACCTCTGTAATTTGTGTTGGCGTTAACAGTTCATCGGATCGCCCACTGTGATACACGCTAACATACTGTTGCAGTGGTTCGCCTTCTACATCTGATGCAAGGCTTGTTGAAGCCAATGGTCCATCATATGGGCCAGATGTTGGATAATCCAGATGAGCAGGACCTCTTTTGAAAAGACCGGTAATTTTTGCACCAAGTGCTTGAGCAGCATCTGTGAAAACTTCACCCACATCCACGGTAGGTTTCTTTTCTTCACTCGGTACAAATTCATCTGAACGACCGCTGTGATAGACAGTAACCAAATGTTCGATTGGTTCGCTTTCCACATCGGGTATCCGATAAGTTGAATCAATTGGACCTTCATAGGCTTCCATAACAGGGTAGTCCAGGTATGTGTCGCCCTTTTTGAAGAGTCCGGTAATTATCTTGGCAGTAACAATCGGTTTTTCTTCCATTGGCATTTCTTCAACCGGTATTTCAGTAGGTATTTCAACAATTTTTGTTACTGGTTCATCGGATCGCCCACTGTGATACACGCTAACATACTGTTGCAGTGGTTCGCCTTCTACATCTGATGCAAGGCTTGTTGAAGCCAATGGTCCATCATATGGGCCAGATGTTGGATAATCCAGATGAGCAGGACCTCTTTTGAAAAGACCGGTAATTTTTGCACCAAGTGCTTGAGCAGCATCTGTGAAAACTTCACCCACATCCACGGTAGGTTTCTTTTCTTCACTCGGTACAAATTCATCTGAACGACCGCTGTGATAGACAGTAACCAAATGTTCGATTGGTTCGCTTTCCACATCGGGTATCCGATAAGTTGAATCAATTGGACCTTCATAGGCTTCCATAACAGGGTAGTCCAGGTATGTGTCGCCCTTTTTGAAGAGTCCGGTAATTATCTTGGCAGCAACAATTGGTTTCTCTTCTACAGGTACCTCTGTAATTTGTGTTGGCGTTAACAGTTCATCGGATCGCCCACTGTGATACACGCTAACATACTGTTGCAGTGGTTCGCCTTCTACATCTGATGCAAGGCTTGTTGAAGCCAATGGTCCATCATATGGGCCAGATGTTGGATAATCCAGATGAGCAGGACCTCTTTTGAAAAGACCGGTAATTTTTGCACCAAGTGCTTGAGCAGCATCTGTGAAAACTTCACCCACATCCACGGTAGGTTTCTTTTCTTCACTCGGTACAAATTCATCTGAACGACCGCTGTGATAGACAGTAACCAAATGTTCGATTGGTTCGCTTTCCACATCGGGTATCCGATAAGTTGAATCAATTGGACCTTCATAGGCTTCCATAACAGGGTAGTCCAGGTATGTGTCGCCCTTTTTGAAGAGTCCGGTAATTATCTTGGCAGTAACAATCGGTTTTTCTTCCATTGGCATTTCTTCAACCGGTATTTCAGTAGGTATTTCAACAATTTTTGTTACTGGTTCATCGGATCGCCCACTGTGATACACGCTAACATACTGTTGCAGTGGTTCGCCTTCTACATCTGATGCAAGGCTTGTTGAAGCCAATGGTCCATCATATGGGCCAGATGTTGGATAATCCAGATGAGCAGGACCTCTTTTGAAAAGACCGGTAATTTTTGCACCAAGTGCTTGAGCAGCATCTGTGAAAACTTCACCCACATCCACGGTAGGTTTCTTTTCTTCACTCGGTACAAATTCATCTGAACGACCGCTGTGATAGACAGTAACCAAATGTTCGATTGGTTCGCTTTCCACATCGGGTATCCGATAAGTTGAATCAATTGGACCTTCATAGGCTTCCATAACAGGGTAGTCCAGGTATGTGTCGCCCTTTTTGAAGAGTCCGGTAATTATTTTGGCAGCAACAATCGGTTTTTCTTCCATTGGCATTTCTTCAACCGGTATTTCAGTAGGTATTTCAACAATTTTTGTTACTGGTTCATCGGATCGCCCACTGTGATACACGCTAACATACTGTTGCAGTGGTTCGCCTTCTACATCTGATGCAAGGCTTGTTGAAGCCAATGGTCCATCATATGGGCCAGATGTTGGATAATCCAGATGAGCAGGACCTCTTTTGAAAAGACCGGTAATTTTTGCACCAAGTGCTTGAGCAGCATCTGTGAAAACTTCACCCACATCCACGGTAGGTTTCTTTTCTTCACTCGGTACAAATTCATCTGAACGACCGCTGTGATAGACAGTAACCAAATGTTCGATTGGTTCGCTTTCCACATCGGGTATCCGATAAGTTGAATCAATTGGACCTTCATAGGCTTCCATAACAGGGTAGTCCAGGTATGTGTCGCCCTTTTTGAAGAGTCCGGTAATTATCTTGGCAGTAACAATCGGTTTTTCTTCCATTGGCATTTCTTCAACCGGTATTTCAGTAGGTATTTCAACAATTTTTGTTACTGGTTCATCGGATCGCCCACTGTGATACACGCTAACATACTGTTGCAGTGGTTCGCCTTCTACATCTGATGCAAGGCTTGTTGAAGCCAATGGTCCATCATATGGGCCAGATGTTGGATAATCCAGATGAGCAGGACCTCTTTTGAAAAGACCGGTAATTTTTGCACCAAGTGCTTGAGCAGCATCTGTGAAAACTTCACCCACATCCACGGTAGGTTTCTTTTCTTCACTCGGTACAAATTCATCTGAACGACCGCTGTGATAGACAGTAACCAAATGTTCGATTGGTTCGCTTTCCACATCGGGTATCCGATAAGTTGAATCAATTGGACCTTCATAGGCTTCCATAACAGGGTAGTCCAGGTATGTGTCGCCCTTTTTGAAGAGTCCGGTAATTATCTTGGCAGTAACAATCGGTTTTTCTTCCATTGGCATTTCTTCAACCGGTATTTCAGTAGGTATTTCAACAATTTTTGTTACTGGTTCATCGGATCGCCCACTGTGATACACGCTAACATACTGTTGCAGTGGTTCGCCTTCTACATCTGATGCAAGGCTTGTTGAAGCCAATGGTCCATCATATGGGCCAGATGTTGGATAATCCAGATGAGCAGGACCTCTTTTGAAAAGACCGGTAATTTTTGCACCAAGTGCTTGAGCAGCATCTGTGAAAACTTCACCCACATCCACGGTAGGTTTCTTTTCTTCACTCGGTACAAATTCATCTGAACGACCGCTGTGATAGACAGTAACCAAATGTTCGATTGGTTCGCTTTCCACATCGGGTATCCGATAAGTTGAATCAATTGGACCTTCATAGGCTTCCATAACAGGGTAGTCCAGGTATGTGTCGCCCTTTTTGAAGAGTCCGGTAATTATTTTGGCAGCAACAATTGGTTTCTCTTCTACAGGTACCTCTGTAATTTGTGTTGGCGTTAACAGTTCATCGGATCGCCCACTGTGATACACGCTAACATACTGTTGCAGTGGTTCGCCTTCTACATCTGATGCAAGGCTTGTTGAAGCCAATGGTCCATCATATGGGCCAGATGTTGGATAATCCAGATGAGCAGGACCTCTTTTGAAAAGACCGGTAATTTTTGCACCAAGTGCTTGAGCAGCATCTGTGAAAACTTCACCCACATCCACGGTAGGTTTCTTTTCTTCACTCGGTACAAATTCATCTGAACGACCGCTGTGATAGACAGTAACCAAATGTTCGATTGGTTCGCTTTCCACATCGGGTATCCGATAAGTTGAATCAATTGGACCTTCATAGGCTTCCATAACAGGGTAGTCCAGGTATGTGTCGCCCTTTTTGAAGAGTCCGGTAATTATCTTGGCAGTAACAATCGGTTTTTCTTCCATTGGCATTTCTTCAACCGGTATTTCAGTAGGTATTTCAACAATTTTTGTTACTGGTTCATCGGATCGCCCACTGTGATACACGCTAACATACTGTTGCAGTGGTTCGCCTTCTACATCTGATGCAAGGCTTGTTGAAGCCAATGGTCCATCATATGGGCCAGATGTTGGATAATCCAGATGAGCAGGACCTCTTTTGAAAAGACCGGTAATTTTTGCACCAAGTGCTTGAGCAGCATCTGTGAAAACTTCACCCACATCCACGGTAGGTTTCTTTTCTTCACTCGGTACAAATTCATCTGAACGACCGCTGTGATAGACAGTAACCAAATGTTCGATTGGTTCGCTTTCCACATCGGGTATCCGATAAGTTGAATCAATTGGACCTTCATAGGCTTCCATAACAGGGTAGTCCAGGTATGTGTCGCCCTTTTTGAAGAGTCCGGTAATTATCTTGGCAGTAACAATCGGTTTTTCTTCCATTGGCATTTCTTCAACCGGTATTTCAGTAGGTATTTCAACAATTTTTGTTACTGGTTCATCGGATCGCCCACTGTGATACACGCTAACATACTGTTGCAGTGGTTCGCCTTCTACATCTGATGCAAGGCTTGTTGAAGCCAATGGTCCATCATATGGGCCAGATGTTGGATAATCCAGATGAGCAGGACCTCTTTTGAAAAGACCGGTAATTTTTGCACCAAGTGCTTGAGCAGCATCTGTGAAAACTTCACCCACATCCACGGTAGGTTTCTTTTCTTCACTCGGTACAAATTCATCTGAACGACCGCTGTGATAGACAGTAACCAAATGTTCGATTGGTTCGCTTTCCACATCGGGTATCCGATAAGTTGAATCAATTGGACCTTCATAGGCTTCCATAACAGGGTAGTCCAGGTATGTGTCGCCCTTTTTGAAGAGTCCAGTGATTACCTTGGCAGTAATAACCGATTTTTTTTGTCTTTTGTCTTCAGTTGTTTTCATATCTTTTCTCTCTGCCTTGGTTTGTTCCAGCTCTTCTTCCACTTTGCACTCATTAAACTGTTGCCTTTGTTTTTTTGCTTTCTGTAATGTTTCTGATTGGCTTTCCTGACGGTTCCATGAATAATCATCTGCTTCTATTCGAAATGGTTCGGAGAAGCGAACTGTATAAGTCGATTTCAATCTTCTTGGAGACTCTATCTGCCAGGGTGCGCTTTGTGTTTCTTGCTGAACATGCCCTGTTTTTGCGTCGGTATATACTGTGTGCTCCCCATCAATAGATGCTGTTTTATATGCTCCAGAGAGTTTAGCAACTACAGTTGAAATTTCCCTACTTATTCTTTCCTCCTCAGGAACCGGATTTCCTGGTGATACTCCATTGTGATATAAAGCCACGTGCCGGTGGATTGGTTCTTGATTTATTTCAGTACTCCGACTAGTAGATGCAATAGTTCCTTCAAAAGCGTCATGGTCGTCATACCTATCACTGTATCCTTCTTTATTTAGTGCATCAATTTCTGCATTCGATATTTTTTCTATGCTTGGCGAATGTTTTTGACTGGATGGTAGGTCAATATCGATCATCTTAACTACGTAATCTGCTGTATCAGCTGTTCGTGTGGGTGAATCCTTCTTACCTACCACTACGTAGAGGTGCTCTTTCTCCTTCGTAGATGATTCTGCAACCAAATCTTCGAAATCGACAACTTCATAGTCTAACGGAAAATCCAACGTTATTTGTGTATTTCCTGATACCGTTTTCTCTTCCGTTTCAACTTTTAATTCTTCCTCAGTGTCGTCGATTTCGATAACGCTATATGTTGTTGTCGTTGTCGTTGTCATCATCGTCCTTACTTCTTTCGTTTCCGTCGTTTTCGGCACAATATATAAACCCGTATAAAGTGGGGTTCCATTAGCGTCTATACCGCTAATAATTGGTATGCTGTGAGATTCGCTTGTTATTGTTGTTGTTGCAAAATACCTTTCACTTCGACCTACAAACCGTATCAGTAATATTTGGTTAAATTATTATGAAACATTTTCGAAAATGGATTTCTATCATAAACGAATTTTTTTTTTCTTATAGTCAGCTAATAATTGATGCGCTTCTAAATATTCCAGAATTTCTTTAATTATTATTTTAAAATGTATTCCATTTCAAAAATTTTAATTTGTTTATTTTTTTTTGTTTATTATATATATTTTATAATTTGTTTAAAGATATATCTCATACTAAAAAAACTGTATCTTTTCTACATACCTACTGCAAAATTTGCATTCTACATCATTTATTTACATCAACAAAGAAAAGAAAACAATAATCCTACCCCTCTTTATAATTTATTTTAATAGACAGGAACTGATATGCTAGCGTGTATAAGTTTGCAATGTTAACCTATTGGCGTTAAGACGTCCACAGGTGTTTCAAAACTGAGTGGTAGTGGGATCATTTGTACACGTTCCGTAGTAGTTACTGTCCGTGAACTAAATGACTGCGTTGATCCGGTTTCATCGTCTCGCCGCGGTGAAAGCTCGGTACGCTGTCGACGGGTTACGGACCATATTGGGCTATGTACATTTTCACCTCAAGTTTGGTAGTCATAGAAAATTGAAGGGAATGGTAAAAGTTTACTAACAAAGCAAAGATAATTTACCTGTTATCAATATCAAATATAGAATTATAGTTCACTCCTTTCACTCCTTTTCTTTAATTTTCTTTAATGTAGTTCACTTCTTTTCTTTAATTAAATTTTAGTTCTAAATTTCTTGCACGCAACGGCAAAGTTACACTAAAAAAAGATAAAATAAAATAGAATTCTAGCATAAGCTGAAATCATTCGTCAGTAAAATATAAGTTAATCTATAAATATCAGTAAACTGGTAGTGAAATGACATATGGCAATGTAAATAGATGAAAAGTTTTAAATAAACATTGAAATTAATTGTGCATCATAAAATCTTCCATTTAAAACCAAAGTAAATTCATGCAAAACCATATCAAATAATATGTAGACGGATGAATGTGTCAGTTGAAAGCAGTAAAGAATTATCACTGATTAAGATTTGTAATCTCATTTCTTTAAGAAATTCGTTCTCAAAAATTGTTGCAATTAAAAGATCAACATAAAATATATGACTAATAAATTTACCTAATTCTACAAAAAAGCTACGAAAAAAAAAGAGCAAAAAGAAGTAATACCTGAGCTCTGTGGAGTCTTCGACTTCTTGTCTTTAGGCATGAATCCTCTGCAAAATATTATGGTGTAATCAATTAAATTACTCACTTTAGCAACAAACGAAAAAAGCAGTTTTAAATTAGGAACGCTTACTTTTTAAATTATTCAAAATTTTAGTCAAAAAAATATAGAACATATGATCGAAACAATTCGTATACAGTTTAAAATTTGGTTTAGATTCCAGTGAATTTTATTTGACTTAGATTTCTATTGGAACTCGACGGATACTAATTAATACTAACATGCGAATAAGATATAATAATTTTGCTGATATTATGATAAAATTCGATGGTGATATAAGTTGACAAATATTAATGATAATTTTCGGAGATGATGATTTTAAAGTGACAAAGTACTCATAAATTATAAATGCAATTAATCTGTTTATATTTGCGCTTTGTTTTCCTAACAGTACTTTAATTGAACTATAAATAAATAGAACTATAAGATGAAACTTTATTGAAACTGTTTTATTCCGGAAGCAAGCTAATCATTTGATGTTTGTTCTTTGTAATTTTTTAAGGAAAACAGAGGAGAAAGAAACAAAGTGATTTAGCTGGAACTATTATTTGCATCACCAATATTAAAATACTGAATTTTAATTTGCATCTTTTATTTTTATTATTTCCATCACCGATATTAAATATACTGAATTTTTTCAAGGAAGTATATATATTTAATATCTGTGCGCATTCATAAATTAAGGTAAACTTATTTTTCCAAATAATCCAAAACATTTCATTCGTTTATAATTGCATAAAATTTTTATACACAAAATTAAATAGGGGAGATGAGATTAATTAATATTACTTACTGCTATTGCATGTCAGTAGTGGAACAGTGAGATGAAATTATAAAATGCTTCACTGATGATCATTTCATTATCAGTAATTTTTAAGGAACATTAATCATTGCAAAAGAGGGAAGCGCATAATATACAAAAATATCATTAACATTATTTAGTTAAACATTGATATAATTCACCATTATTTAGTTAAACATTGATATCATTCACCACTAATTAAGCAACAGTCAAAATCATTAACAGTTTTTAATCAGAAATATTACAAAAAAAATGAAAAGCGAATAAAAAACAGGAATACTACGAAGCTAACAAATTTAATTGAAGCTAGTTAAAAATCATTAATCATCCAAAAAAGGAAAAATGAAAATTATCGACAATTTGAAAAACTGATTAATATTAAATATTTGAACTATTTTCAAGGATGTGTGATATATGCAGTGGATTACCTCACCACTAAATGACAAAAGTACATGGGATGTATGATTATTAAATCGTTTACAATCTAATTGTTTACAGTTATAATGATGTTTGGTTGAAATAGATCAAATGATAAATTCGTAAAATCATAAGTTTTTTGCTTTGTTATTATGCCAATCTTTCATAATATATTATGTCAAGCTTCTGTTTATTCTGCTTACAACTTTTTAGTCATATATTTACGTAACTTTAAAATGTACCACAAATTTATGGTTCTTCATTCCACGAAAAGAAACAATCTACGAAGTTCACTGAAGATACTGGAAAATTTTTCACATTCATCAAAAAATGTTACTTATTTTCACTGTATGGAATAAAACAAATGTCATGAGAGTCATAAAATTGTTGTAGATTCTGAAGATTTCTTCAACTTCATCAAAAATCATTAACATACAGTTAAGAAATAAGAAAAGACATCGTCGCTGTTTTTCTTCTAAATAGTAAATTTATTAGTGGATATCACTGAAATAACGTGATAAATTTTTTAAAAAAAGTACTAAAGTTTTATAAAATTACCAGAAATTAATTAATTCAAAGAACAATTGCAACTAAAAATCACTGAAGTAAAAATTAAGAAAAGACATCTCAAGCTGATTTTCTTCGTGCTAAATCAACTTATGTTTAATTATGCATGCGATAAATTAATGATAATATTAATAATAAACAGTCATTGAAGACTACGGATCGAATTAAGTAGTTAGGAAAAGAAACTGGAACAAAGGGAAATCAATCAATCATCAAAAGATTTCTCTCTCTTGTCCTCACTCTGTCCTCTTGTGTACAAAGATATGGAGGAAGTTTATGCTTTATACATGTTCAAAGAAGTATTATGCAATAATTTAGGAATTAAACACCTTCTCGTTAATGATAAATATTTGATAGAAACCGCAAGCTAAGATTAAGAAAATTTCAAATGATTTCAATGTTACTTGTAATTTACCAATTATACCTGTCATTAAAATGATGGAATAGAATCAATGTGACAGATAACTACGCCAACATAAAAGTAATAAATAAAAATCAAATCTGTTTAACACGAATGAACAAGAGAGGGAAAGAAAGACTACCTGAGCAGTTACTAAATACATGAAAAGTAGTGAGATAGTAAGCAGAAGAAATAATGAATGAAGTAAGTTTAAAATGACCTATTTGTTTTTGATTTGATTGCTTCTTGATAATTAATCACGTTAATCGCATAAAAGAACAGATTTTGTTGAAAAAACTTCTTTCAGATTTCCATTATTCGTATATTAATTATTAATGATTAATGATTAATTATTGTCATTGTTTATTTATTATTACTATCATCATTATTATTGTTGTTATTATTATTTGCTATTAACTTATTATTATTATATGAATTATTATTTACTACTATTATTATCATTGTTATTATTGTTATTATTACTATTATTACCACTATTATTATTTGTCATTATTACTATTATTATCACTATCATTATTTATTATTATTACTAAGAAAATATTACTGTAATTATATGATGCATGCATGTTGTTTTTGAAATATGATATAAACAAAGAGAAAAAAGTGAAATTAAAAAAAATGATATTGACTGCTACTAAAGCAGCAATAAGAATATGATGCCCTTTTTCCTCTTTTTTCTTCCCATGATTACATTTCTTAAGTGCAGACTAAAATTCTTTTTTTAAAAAAAATTTGTAGCATGGCAAAAATTCGTGATTTACGTAATGGAAGTAAAGCCATCTAGCAGAGAAAGTTAATAACTTATTAGATTAGAAATTATTAAGGAATTTGACGACACATTAAAAATTAATTGTGATAGAAACAGTGACCTTCATTTTAACCCTCGCTATATGGTTTAATGAATTTAACAAATATTATAATATAAAAATACAAAAAAATTATAATGTATATTGAATGTCTTGCATGTGCTTAATAAGATTAGTTGAATAGGAAATTTAACAGTAAACAATAACTGACTGATGCATTCACTACATTAACAAAGCATGATTAAAATTATGAGAAATTACTCGGATGATAGAAATAATTTAAGTAATTCCATATCAAAATAATAAAAGCGAGTAGATAAAGGAAGGAAACATTGATTCATCAATTTCGTTTAAAATGTCGTTTAAAATAGTTAAAAGTTTTTAAATCATACACTTTTGAAGTGAAGCTGAGGAAAAACAATGAAGAATTTCCTTTGTGATTGACAACTAAAAAACATCGAAAGTATAAAATCTTACTATGACGTTATTTTTTATGTATCAATCTTATTTGCTTAACTTTTTCAATTCCCTTTCCCTCTTCTCAGCATTATAGAACATATATGGCACATTTAAATTCAATTTAAAATCAAAATTGATATTATTTCCCATTAAAAATGAAATTAAATTGTAAAAAATGAGAAAAGAAAAGCATTTTTTTTTTTTTTTTTTTTTTTTTTTTGTTCCAGTTATGTAAGTGGGAATAAAAAAGAATGAAATTAATATGAAATTAATTCAGAGGAGAAAAAATGAAATGCTAAGTTCAAATTGGTGTTGGAATTAACTAAATAAATTAGGCTTTGTCAGTCTTTTTTCCTTCTTTTTTCATTCGGTAAAATAAATTATGCTTAAAGTACCAAAGTGTTCTTGGGAAATAAAAATGAACATTTCAAACAGAATTAAAGTAAAAAATCTAGGAAAAGACGAAAATTCCAGTGGAAAGAAGGGAAAGAAATGATGATGTGGTAGGATGAATATTAAATGACGTGAACAAAAAAAAAATTGAAAAATAAATATATATAATCAAAATGAAAAAAAAATTCCGGAAAAAACTAATTGTGAATTCAAAATTAGTGAGAAAATTAAGACAAAACTTCATCCTACTCCTTCTTCCTATTGGCATTCTCTTTCTCTAAATTTTTTTACTTGCATTCTTGCTTAAATTTTACTTTTATTTCTTAATTTTAGCAAAAAGAAAAAAGTTTAGTTAATTTCAACATGAGGAAGAGAAAGAGAGAGAAGAAAGAGAAAGAAGCATATTATTAATAATGTCTGATTATAAATAATAGTACCTTTATTTTTTTATATATATGTTGAAAGTCAATAATTTCAAAAAATATTTCTTTTATTCTTTTCTAATCACTAATTCATCAAACAATTATTTGTTGTTATTGTTGCTATTAAAGTTTTCTATTGTTTTATTTATAGAAAAAAGTTTCTTTTTTTTAAAAAAAAGGTAATCGATGAATAATGTATTAGCAATAGTAGTAGTAGTAGTCGTAGTAATAATCTGAGACAGATAAGAAAGAACAAAGAAAAAAATAATAAATGAAGAAAATTTTGTTCATTTTGGAAATCTTAGATAACTGTTAGATGTAAAAAGGAAAAGAAGGCATAAATGTAGAGATAATAACGAGAAGAGATAAGATGGCACCTCGTTTCACTTCACTTCCTAGCATAACACCACTACTTTACAAGCACTCAATCAAACTGTGCTTAAGTTTTAATCGTTATTTTCCGCTATCGCCCAACATTCACCTTCGACATAAACCATTCTCATTTTAATTTATCAATTGTTCAGTGCAATAACAACAATCTTTTCAGTACATAGTGTATATGTAATAACAATTCTTTCTACTAGGAAACTAAAAAAAAATCAATGTGATTGTATTGATTTTTCAGCAATAAGAAATACATTTTCTTCTTTCCTTTTTTTCCGGAATTTTTTTTTCTCGTGTTTTAGTCTTCATTA